CCCTGGGGGAACAGGACGCTGGCCCGCTCCCACCACCCCGCCCCTCCTGAAGGGCCTGTTTCCTCCCAGGTGCCCTTTTGGCCTTTGTGAGGGAGCAAGGGACAGGCCCGAAGGGGTATCTGCCTTCTGCTGGGGCTCCTGTGGTGACCTTCTGTGCCCAGCTTTTACACTCGCGTCCCCCACCAGCGGGCCTGCGGCCCCGGGAGGGCAGCGGGGGCCTCCCACAAGCCCCCCACCTCACCCTTGCCCCAGCCTCTTCCCCGCATTAGGGGTTTCTCAGAAGCTGGCTCTCACACCGCCTGCCACCCTCAGCTGGAGGTAGGATATTCCCAGACCCTGGGCTCCCGGCCCTAAAACACTGCCTCCCCCATGGGCCCCTCTGAGGAGGGTGTGGGGGGGCCCTGAGGGCTGCCTCTCCACCAGTCAGCCACAGAGACCCTCCTCCTTCCATGAGGAAAAGACCTCCCCCGAACCCCTAAAAATGTTTACAGTCTCTGCTGGTCCCCTCTGTGTAAATACCACCACCCGTGCGTTACCCAGCCCGGCCCGGCCCGGACGCTGCCAGCTCTCTTTCTGGGAGTTTAGACAATGTTTCCCTTGGATTTTTTCTCTCTCTTGATTTCTCCCTTTGCTTTGGGGGTAATTGGGTGTTTGGGAGGAGGGGTGTGGGGAGGGCTACAGGGGTTTATTACCTGATCATTTTCTTTAGGAAGAGGTTTTAGGGGAAAGAACCGGGTGGGGGGAGGGAGTGGTGAGGGGAGACGGGGAGTCCGTTTCAGACACTTCTCTATGCTTAACTTATTTATTTATTGCATTTTACTTTTAAAGAGTTGGTCTTTTCTGTCTAAATAAAGAAAAAAGTTTAAAAGCATCAAATAAGAGTCTTGCAAGGAGGAGGGTAGGGGAGCTTGCGCTCTGGGGAGGGGAGGAAGGGAGGTAGAGGAGGGACACTCGTCAGGAGGGACCGAGACCGAGACCTTCCAGCAGGTCCAGGCCTTGACTGGCTTCATGATCCCATTCTTCCGCCCTTCCCTGGGGCTGAATTCTGGAATGACCTGTAGCAAGAACGCAGGTCCGCGGGCCTCTGTTACCCAGCCCTTTCCCTCTGAAGCCTGCGGGCTTGAGTCTCACACTCCTCATCTCCACTTCTCCCTTGTTCCTGGGGGTGAGCTGTTCTGCCCCCACCAGTGGGTGTACAGGGGGTGACGCGTTTGCTCTGTGAATTCTGTGGCGGGCCCTTGCTGCGCCTTTCCTCATTTAACCTCCCAACGACCCTGTGAGGCGGGATATGACTTTACAGACAGCTTCAGAAAGCCTTTGGAGGGCAGTGGACTGAGCCAGGGCCACAAAGCTCCTGAGGGATGCCTGCCGGAAGGAGGCCCGGCCTGTCAGCCCCCAAAGCCCACAGAGCTCTCACAACAGCCTCCACCACCTGTTTTGTGACCCCAGGCTGAGGTCCCAACAAGCGTCAAGCCTCAAGCCAGCATGGCTTGGCGTGGCAGGGACTCCCGTCAAGCAGGAGGGAACTACATATGCCCTGATGCCCCTCCAGTTGGTCCTGAGAGTCTCCTCTGTGAGCTGCGAGGTGGGGGGCGGGGGGGGGAACCTCAGGGCTCATTCGGGTGCCGAGACCTGACTGCAAGGCGCCTGCACCCCGCTATCTGCACCCTCGTTATGCTCACACCTTGAAGCTTCTTTACCTGCCAGCCCAGCCAGCCTTAGGCCAGAGCTGCTCCCCAGAGCACAAGGACGAGTAAGTCCAACACTTACCCCCACCTCTGCTCCACGCTTCTCTTCAACTGCCCCAAACTGAGAGCAACATGTGAAGTATTATAGAAACGTATCTGTGGCCATTGTTTTGGGAAGAAACGCTTCTTAGATTGGCAGCGATGAGGGATGGGGCGTCGGAAGGAAGAGAATCCAGCCGGGAGCATCCAAAATCGCAAATGTGGGTGTGGGTGTGGGCGTGTGCGCGTGCGTGTGGGTGTGGTCACAGGCAGCCACGGTGTGTGTAGGGGGATAACGGGAGTGGGTGTCAGCACTGGGAATTCTCCCCGGAGCGTCTCCCCGTGGCCTCAGCACAGTTTCTGGGTCAACACGAAAGATGGACGGGGAACGTTAAACCAAAGGCCATCCCCAGAGCGACATGCTGACTGCCAGGTCCTCCCGGGATGGGGGAGGGGGGTCGGGAGGCAACAGGACTGAGAAGCCTCCTCCTCCCACCTGCTCCCTGAACCCCTCACTGAAACTGAAGACCACCGATTGGCTGTCCCTGCAAGGTTGCAGCCAGGTTTTCTCCAGACAAGCAGTAGAATGATGAAGGTTGAAGGAGGGGTCTTACGGGGGAAAACAAAACATTTTTGGGGCAAGGATGCTCTAGGTCCTTTACATTATTACTATTTTAATCCCAGTAGAGTTAACATACAGAGTTATGTTTCCAGTGTACAATACAGTGATTCAATAGTCACATACATCACCCGGTGCTCATCATCTCCAGGTGTTTTTTAAAAATGTTTATTTATTTTTGAGGGGGGGATGCACAAGTGGGGTAGGGGCAGAGAGATAGGGAGACACAGAATCCGAAGCAGGCTCCAGGCTCCGAGCCGTCAGTACAGAGCCCGACGCGGGGCTTGAACCCATGGACCATGAGATCATGACCTGAGACAAAGTCAGACGCTTAACCCACTGAGTCTCCCAGGCGCCCCTTCTTCCAGGTATTTTGATGGCAAAACATAGGACGCTCAGAGACAGAGAAGGAAGCTCTGAACTGTTTCTTCTATAAGCAGATTTCTCAGGCACCATGTTAGTTTCAAATAGAGTCAGAAGGGTGTACAGGTGCGTAGTTAGTTCTCGTAGCCCCCGAAGTTCACTACCGCCTCTTCTGAGCAGAAGAGGCCTGAGCAGTAATAAAATGGGACAGCAGAGGAAATAAGAAACAAGGACAATAGACCCCCTAATTCACACCAAGCAGGATGAAACTCCACGGCTTCTAAAATAGTCAAGTTACTGTTCAAACGTTAATGGCAACGTAAGAGGAGGGAGAAGGGAAAGAACCTCTTGAGGCAGAAGAGTGGAGCTGACACGTTAATAGCAGGGATCGGGAGAAGCCTTCCATTTATAGACACGAAAACAGACATTTAGAAAAATACCCTGAGCTGGGGGGGGGGGGGGCTCCAGGGATGTGAGTGAGGCAGGAAAAAGCCCGGGTGACTCCTCCAATGCAGCCCCACGCCCTGGCCGTATTTTGACAGCTTTGAAAGGCACAGACGGCAGGTGAGAGGTTTCCATTTCCTCCACCACAGGCTCTGCACGGCCTGTCCGACTTGCAGGGCTTCCTTCAGTCTTTTCATTCTCCTGCTAAAATGTCAAAGCCTTCGCAGCCTTGGCTTCTAGAATTTGTGACTGCAGAAGTTCCCACTCCCGGCCAAGACTCGCTCTCCTCTCTAAGTCTGACCGTCTGAGTCACCCTGAGGCAAGAGACTGGGCCTTTGAAGATTCTTTCTCTGGGCCTTCTTGGTCTACTTCCCTGAGTGACCAGGCGGCCCCCCACAAGCGGGGTCTCCCTCCAATATGCTGCATTCATCCGCTCAACGATAAGGGCTCCCAGATCTACTTCCACTTATCAACGAATCATAGCAGAGTCTTCACTGCCCCTTCTGTATGCATTCTGAAAAACCATGTTTCTAAACTGCAGCAGATGGGGGAGCCTGGGGGGCTCAGTCGGTTAAGCACCTGACTTCGCTCAGGTCATGATCTCAAGGTTTGTGGGTTCGAGCTCTGCGTCGGGCTCTGTGCTGACAGCTCAGAGCCTGGAGACAATTCATTGTTCATCTGGACAAGTTTGACCCTCCCCCTCCTATGGCTTTTCATTCCCAGTCGTAAGCGTTGGGCACGTATCAGCTCCACAAAGTTTGCTGAACACCTTCTTGTTGAAATCTTGCCCATCCTGAACGGTCCACCTTAAATGCCACTTTTTTCATGAAGATTTCCTTCATCACTTTCATCCAGAGGCTCCCCGACTTTCAACTAGTGCTTCCCCCTTCACTGCTGTGGACCGTGTCACCTGTACCCTGTACGCCTCTCATTCCTCCCTGGACGGAGAGCCGGTGCCACGGCCCTCGTGTTTCCTTTGTTCTGCTGCCTCGGTTGACATGCTGCCTGCTCGGGGCAGGGGGCCAGCACGTTTGTGAACTGGAACTTCTGTAATTCAGCTCTGGGATTCTACCATTGCTCTACAGATCCTCTCCTTTCAAAGAATTTGAAAACAAATTCTTTCCCCATCGTCAGATTTCTCAGAGTCCAATTACTCACGGCTGACGGCCAAGTGAATGAGATGCAGGACAAATGTCTCTCCCCAAACTGTCAAAAGAAATGTCAAACTAGTCCTTGCTTTTATGGTCTTCAATCAAGGAGCAAAAAACTCTTCAATCAGGGGTCGTAAAAAAAAAAAAAAAGAAAAAAGGTTTACAAAATAACAAAAATATCCAGCCTAACACAAATGCTGAGCTTTTCAGAGCAGATTTGGACCACAGGACCCGAGACTGCTCTGTGACAGCACAGAACACCCAGGGCCACCCCCACTCTCAGGGCTTGAGTGGGGGACAAGCGCTCAGTGTGTCTCTTACTGTGCTGGCATTTGTTAGGCTCTAGACAGTTTCCTGCTGAACTTGAACAATGAACAGTGCACCATGTGGCTGGGGCTGGGAGCAGTGTCAGGCTCTACCTGCAGAGGTTGAGTCCTGTGAGCCCTGCGGTAGTCCCGGGCCGGCTGGAGCAACCCACTGGGACACCCAAGGGAGGAGAAGGCATTTCCAAAGGAGTCACCAGAAAAGGACCTCTGGGCAAGGGGCCTCGGGGCTTCTCCTCCCACCCTCAGCTGCTGGGGGTGGGGGTGGGTCCTTCCCGTTTGCACACCCATCTTTCTAACCCCCATCTCCAAGGTCCCTCCTTCACTTCTTCCCACACAACCCAAAAGGATCTGTAGTCCAGGAAGGCATAGACTAGTTTCATCAATAAATCAATTTATTTAAAAGAATATGTTACAATTAATTACACTAAGTGACATTACCAAACAATTTTAGAGTGGTTAGCTGTAGAACAAGGAATGAAAGAAACACTGTTAGCCATTACGTGTCTGTGTATTTTCTCTTCACATTTCTCAAATCACAAATAAAAAATACAAGATACTGCAGTGAAAATACAATTAGAGTTTCTCAAATAAATTAAAAGTGTGCATGGCCTGGGGGAAAACTGAAGCCCAGCTCGCTGGCTTAAAAAGGGGGCATGATATAAAACTGGTGTCCGCCCTCCCCGCCCCTGCCCTGCCCTGGAGCCCCAGCTCCCCACACTGAGATTATTGCTGGGGAGTGAGCTGCCTCCCCCCCACGGGGCTGGTGGGCGCTCAGGTTGGGGGGGGAAGGCAGGCTGGCGGTGGCGCTGGAACATGGGACTCCCGCCGTCACCGCTCCCCTGTCACCGCTCCCCTCTCTGGCATCAACCACGCGGCCCCCCTTCAAAGGGAAGCTAATGGGACAGTGAACCTGGCAAGCAAACCTGGCGGTGTGCTGGGCTCCAACAGCCCAAATGGTCTCTGAATTGACCCCGCCAGAAAGCACGACGGAGAAAAGGGGGGAACGGTAGTCCCTCCGGGTCTGGAGACTTTGGGCCAACCAGGATACAGTCCCCTGGAGGAAAAGTGCCTCCTTGGAGCGAGGCCACGAGGGGGCAAATTCTGAGAGGAGAGAGATGTGTCCCCTCCAGTCAATGCCCGGTACTGCGGCTCGGCTCCAGGCACTAGGTTTGGAGCTCTGAGAAGAGAACCAAAGCTACCGGCATGGGGTCGGGGGCGGGGGGGCTGTGGGGGGGGGAGATAGCCGGGATAAACTGGCCAGGCCTCGAGCTGCCCTGAGCACACAGCCGGGCTGGGCTCAGGACAATGGAGAGGAGAATACAAATATAAAGCACAGAGAGCCCAAGCACGGCCAAGGGACCCCTTCTGCAGGGACAGGTTTCTCGGGCGGCCCTTTTCCCTGATCTGTACAAAACTCGGAGCTTTTAGCAAAGAGGATAGACACCGGGCGTGGAGGGGGACATCCCACGGGCGCTGCTGGGGCGGGGGGTGGGGGAAGCCCCTCCATCTTCCAGAGACAAACAGCAAAATGAGCCCAGGCAAAGGCTCCCTGGGCAGGACCCGGGCGAAGAATGGCAGCAGGGGTGAGGGTGAGGGAGTATGGAACAGGGGAAGGAGGGTCACACTAACACTGCTTCATGCAAAACAGACTTGATCTGTGGAGCCCCCGGTGAGCTCTGCGGTGGCCAGCGTGAGGCCTGCTGCGGGAGGGAGGGGAAGGGTGCCCTCTGCTGGGACTCCCTCCTGCCCTTCCTCGGCAGCTCTTCAGCGGTACAGCCGCAAGGAGGGGCTGTTTCCAAACAGACTCGGCCAATGGCCGACGACCAGGCGCGGTGCCCTCGCCCAGTCCCCAAAGCACCAGGTGGCCACGCTCCGCCACAGGGAGTGGAGCGGCCCCCACCCAGCTCAAGGGGACCCCACCTGAGGGCATCCTCCCAGCTCCCACCCAGAGGTCAGCACGGGGATGCTGCATGGGCTCCCAGATTTGTTCATCCCTCCCCCGCTCTGAGGGAGCAGGGGCAAACTGCTGTGCCTGTGCAGTGGGGAAAAGCTGGCCCCAAAGCCACGGCAGCATCTTGGGGCGGGGAACCAGAGTGTCTCTTTTCTAGGACCCTCTGGCTCCTTATCAAATTCACGGAAGCCAAAAGAAGCTAATTCTGTTATCAAAACTTTCAAACTGAGGCTGGCTCTCTGCGACTTTGAACATTCAGCATCCCTAGGCTCTGCTCTGTGCGGCTCAACCTGGGTTTGGAGAAAGGGAGGGAGGACAGATGTCCTGTATGACCCCGCACTGTCCCGGGGCAAGCAGCCGCCAGGATGACAGAAAGTGGCCTTGTGATGATTTGCAAAACCAAGTTGGCAGAACGGAAACTTCCAGCTGCCCCACCACTGCCCCGCTGGCTCCCGATGAGACAAAGCAGAGGACGCCACCCAGTGGAGGTTTTGTTTGGAAAGCGGAGAAGGGAAAAAGAAACACACAGACGTCTCAGGTGCGCCAGAGCCTGACTTGGAGCTGCCAGCGCAGCATCCATAGAGCGCGGCGCCGAGAGCGTTGCCCCAGCTGGTGAGCCCGGCCCCCTAGGGCCTGGGGTGCAGCTCTTAGGTCTCAAAATCCCCAGGTGAGTAAGGAGCTCTTTGAAGGACAGAAAGGCTTCCCTTTAGTCTCCTTATTAAAAGCTGAGCTCCAACCCACATCACCCGTATCCCTACTGGTCCCTCTCGGGTCCTCAGCTGGCTTGGACGGGCACTGGTTTGGTTGGCAAGGACCACTGACCAAGTTTCCCCAAGGCTCTGGGGACACAGTCAGGTTCTTCTGCGACACAGCTGTTTAAGGAAGTCACAGAGAATGTATGGTTACGGGCGGTTACCGGTCAGGAACGGAGTGGGGAAAAGCTGAGGCACACAGGGCAGTCCTTCCTTCCTTTCCCCGGCCTCAGTCCAATCTTTGTGCCTAAAGCTATTGGCTTTAACTCTGGTCCCTAGTACTCTGCCTGCTCTTCAGAAATGGGAAATTAGAACCACAAAGCATTTCCGGTTCTGTGGCATCAGCCTCCTGAGCCCGCCTCTCCCCTCCATTCTAGGCCAGTGGAGGGAGAGCACACCAGGGCCCTCGGGAAGCAAGAAGGAGATGGGGAGTGTGGCCACAAAGCCGTGATGGGGACAGGGCTGGGCAGGACAGCTGTCTCGGAATCGAGGGCCATGCCAAGCCTTCAGATTCTCCCTGCAGATGTGCAAGCCTCTGGCCCTTGAGAAACCCACCTCCGCCTCCTCCCCAGCGGCCTCTAGGAAGATAAAGAAACTGCGTTCCTTGCTCCTGACTCTGTGGCAACCATGAGCCAGAATCTCACTCGATACAAAAAAGGGGGGGAAAAACCCAAGCAGGTTGTAAACTTTTCGAGTCCTTCATGAGGAGAGGTATTTTCCCAGTAATTTTTTTTTTCCTTTTTAAAGTTTGTTTCAAAATAAAGAGAGCAAGAGAGAAGTCATGAATTCTAGTGAAAGGTGTGTAAAAACACAAGCTAAAAAAGGTACTGCCATCGATATGAAATTTAAAAAGAAATATATATATGTATATACGTGCAGCTAATCTGTGTATATATAATTTTTACATACATACATATATATGTCGGAACAGTGCCAATGGGCGGAGTTCATAGCTCCGGTTTTAACACCACAGCGCAAGGGGTGTTGGCGGGAGGCCCAGGTGAAAGGAGACGCCTCTGGCACGTGCTTGGGCTCAACTTCCTGTCTTAACTCAGCTGCTCCCAGTGTGGACCGGTCTGTGCTCTCCACCAGCTCAATTCCAGAGACATGAGACCCAGAGGGATTATTAATAGCATTTAGTTTAGGGCTTTTGAACATAATGACTTTTTTCCTTTTTCTCTTCTTTTGTGTTAATGGTTACTCTCTGACACAGGAGACGGAAGGGGTGAGAGGACGAGGGTGAAGAGGAGGGGTGAGGGAAGGCTAGGTGGCCACATCCCTCTGCTGTGACCTCGCCATCCGGAAAATGTTCTGAAAGGAAAACAGAAAACAGTTACTGGGAAGCCTGAGGCCCTGCATCTCCCTGCTGGAGGCCGCCTGGGACAGGACTGAGAAAGCAAGCATGTGGCTCCAAGACTCTGTGTCCCGGGCCTCCACCTCGACTACAACTTCCCGTTAGCAGCACGGCCTTGGAGACCCAGAGAGGAGCTTAGATATTAATTATCTAGCTCAGCCTTCCCATCTTATTGATGAGAAAAGAGGAGAACTGGGACACAGGGGAGGCGTATGTGCCCAGCGCCACAGGGAGGTGCATGTGCCCAGCACTGCAGGGGGAGGGTGGTCAGGGAGGCACAGGTGCCCAGCACCACAGGGAGGGTGGCCATCCGATTCTCAGGTCCCGCTGTTCCTCCTACGACACCGAGAATATACATCTCATGTTCTTGACTTTACCTTCTGAACTTCAGAAACATTTTCTCTGAGAAGTAGCTAGCTACTCAGAATCTTCCGGATTCTCCAACACTGGTGAACATGGACTGCGGTAACAGTAGCAGAAACTTCCCGCACACAGGCCTTCCTGGTCAGCCCAGACAGGCTGGCAGGAGGCATCTAGTCAGAGGGGCTAAAACTGGGGACAGCCGCCCTTCTGGGTCAGGAGCACCACAGGCAGTGATTTGATTAAAAAGCAAAAACAGAAACAAACACAAGGCAGGGGAGGGTCCATGAAGCCACGGGGGTGGAGGAGCCCGCAGCCGACTGCTAACTGCCCGCTAGCCAAGGGAAGCAGGGCTTCTCCTGTGCAGCTAGTCAGCACCCAAAGGCTGGAGGAATAACCAGCCTCTAACTCGTACTCCCAGACAGACAGATGGAGGGGAGGGTCCTAGGAACTTGACCATAGGCCTGTCTTATTTAAACAAACAAAAAAGTCAATTTGAGAGTGTTTCGAATTACCTCTTTTCTCCACTTGAGCTCACAGAACACCCTCTCGAAGCATTCGTGCATATAATTAAACTGAAAAACATAACAAAACACAAACAACATGGCGACACTGACTTCTCACTGCCTACCGGGTGCCACAGGACCCTGCCTCTGCCCCCTGCCCCTGGCGCCCTGCACCATCCCAACCTGCTCAGCCGAGGAAACCCAGCCGAGTACCAGTCTCGGGGCCCCACCGAGTGGCGGCTGTGGAACTGTCGGTCCCCATCAGCCCTCGGGACAGACAGGAAGAACCTGGGGCTCTAAGAGCAGAGACAACTGCAATCTCTGCAGCCCTCTCTCTCATCTATGCACTCAGCTTGAGACCTGCGCACCCAGTCTACTTTTCCCAGCAGCACGTCCGGTCTATACTCACATATGGTGTGAAGATCTTAACCCATCGAGGCTTCTTTTCTCCTCGAGCGTACTCAAAGCAGAAGGCCATTCCTTCTTCATCCGTATCCCACCGCTGCATCTCGTCCCACTCAAATGCTATCACCTGGTTCTGCACACGGAGAACAAGAGTGGCAGTCTGAGTGCTGGGACCTCAGCTCAGGTGGTTCTGAGCCACACGGCAGAGAAGTGAGTGCGTGTCTGCCTCATCTCAGGAAAGACTGAGGGAAGAACGAGTCGATGTGAGTAGCCAGGAAGGTGAGGGCCAGTGCGGCTCCAGTGCTGACTTACGTGCCCCCTCACAATAGTGTGGACCCCGTCTCCCCTCCCAATGGGAACTAAGCCACAGCATGTAAGCGAGCAGCGGTGTCCCCAGTGTCCCAGCCCCGGCCCCCTGCTGCTGTCACCTCCAGCTGCCCTTCTTCCGTGCAGGCATGCAGCTTAAAGTGCCTGATGCTGATGGCTGTGATGACGTGCCCCTTCCTCCGGGAGTCGCAGGCGCAGTGCGGGAAGATGATTTCATTGTAGCCCTCACAGGTCCTCAGCATGTTGAGATACTAGGAGAAAAAAAGTGTATGTGTGCAAGAGAGAGAAAACAGCATTCTGTGGAACTAAACCACCACGAAGAGCTGCTGGGATGTCACCAGAGAAAGAATGAAGAGAATCCTCCCTCCTGGCAACCTGAGGACCACACTCGGGCCCCACAGCATGACTAGCTCTGAGAAGGGCCAGGGCTCCAAGCCCACTCTTCGTTTCACTTCCAGCTTCCACCTCCGTACTTCTAGACCCGCCTCCTTTCTCCACCTCAAAAAGTCCGCGCACGGAGCCAGAAGAGGTGCTGTTACCAAGACCCCTATGTCGTGCAGGGAACTCACAGTGCACTTTAGCCTGCCTCTCCTGTCACTTGCATCTGGGATAGGAACCAAACCGATCGACATGATGAGGAAAGGAATCTCATGTCTCCTCCCAAATAAAAAGTTATAAGGGCATCAGTGACAAAGAGTAAGCTACCCCCAAATCCCACACTCATAACATGTCTAAGCTCAGAGAGACTGTGTTAAAGCCAGTCATTTTACAGAAACCCAGAATCACAGGAGGCGTGCTAAAGGGCACAGGTAATAGTAAGTGGCACAGGCCAGGATTAGAAGCTAGATTTAATTTCGTGGCCACAGGTCCCATCTCCATCGCCAGCTAGTCCCCAAGTCAGCACCACCATTTCCTGATTTCTGGGACAGACGCCTCCTTAAAAATCATGTGGACCGAAATCGAGTGGCGTATGTGACCCCCAAAGGTGCTGGGCTACAGAGGACTGTACCTCGGTTCTGCTCTTTCTCCTCTACAGTGAAGGCTGGCCTCTCTTTCACTCAACTCACTACTTTGAGTTGAGACGGGAGAGTAAACGATGAGTGGGAAGGAGGGTAGAAGAGAAATAAGGAAAAGATGATTAAAAAAAAAAGATCCGGGCTCTGACGTGGTTTCTGCTCAAGGACCTCAGACTGCCTAGGAAGCAAGGAAAGATGCTTGTGTCCCCATACCGCCAGTGGCCCAGCACACAGGACAGCAGGGCACACAGGAGCATGGGCTGGGAGGTGCTAGAGAGATGATCAGCACCCCGGCTGATTCCACCCAGACGGGCAGGGAGACTGGAACACACGGGAGGGTCACCTTTCACCCAAGAAAGCACAGACGACGGGGCTAGGCACAGATAGGACCCTGGCAACCGGTGGCTCCGGTACCAGCAAGCGGCACTGGAGACAGTCAACACCGCCCCAGGGACGGGCTGGGTTTTTTCGGGTACCAGGGATTGGGGACGGTCACCACCGCCCCTGGGACGGGCTGGGGGACCTCGGGTACCAGGGAGCGGGGACGGTCACCACCGCCCCGGGGACGGGCTGGGGGACCTCGGGTACCAGGGAGCTGGGACAGTCACCACTGCCCCGGGGACGGGTTGGGGGACTTCAGGGCCTAGGGAAAAATCACCCCACATATGCCCTTTCCTACTTGTATTTACTTCTGTTTAGGTAAAATAATGGCAACTTTGAAGGGGAAACATTACAGAAGGACAGCCAGAGCACAGCGACAGGACCAACTTGGAAGTGCCACAATACCTGGCTTTTCCCAGCTCTCCCTCCTCCCACCCCTCTCCGTATCTCCTTCTCACCATCCCTCCTGCACCAGGGATGAAGCAGCTACTGCTTGGGCCCGCCAGTGGCACTACGAACAAAAAGCCATCCCTGGCTAGGGACAGGCCGTGCCACAGAACGGAAGCCTTTTGGGGGTGTAAGCAGAGATGGAGGCTGAGACAGGAAGCAGTGCAAGGAGTGGTCGGGGGCCTGGGCCGGGACTGCCCTAGACTGGAGTCCCGGCTCCAGCACTTCTGACCGTGTCGCCTTGGACCAGGTGCTTGTACTCCAGCCATATTCCGAATTCCTGGGAGCTCTGCTCTCCTATAAAACAGTCCCTGCATCATACAGTTACTTGGGACCATTGAAGTATTTAGCACAGTACTTAGTACATAAATAGGTATTCAACAAAGGATAGTTTAAAAAATACTTTTAAAGCCTCCATTATCCTTAGCTAGAAGGCTCAACTATCTTCTTCCAGGGAAAAGAGCCCGTGTGTGAGACAGACAAAGTAGGAGTGGTAGAGAGAGGAAGGTTCCTGAAATGGATTAATGGGTGCTTGGGCTAAATGTACTATTCTTCAAACTTCCTTATGTTTTTGCAATTTTCTACAATAAAATATTAAAGGGAAAGAGAAGAGTGCCCTGCACTCCAATGCTCAATCCAAGGTACCCTCCTAACAGTCATGGGAAAATCTCTGTATGCTCAGTAGGCAGCAAATACTGCTCAGAGGCGCTTCGGGAGGACTTGGGGGCTCAGGAGTCTCAGTGTCTGACTCTGATTTCCGCTCAGGTTATGATCTCACAGTCTGTGATATTGAGCCCTGAGTCAGGCTCTCTCTCTCTCAAAATAAATAAATAAAATTAGAAAAGAAAAGAAACAAACCAACAGATTTCAAAATTGTTTTAAAAAAAAAAAGTGCTTGGGGCCTCTGTAAATGCTGGAAGGTTCCATGCAGCCTTGAGACCAGTTCTGCTTGCCTCCTTCACCAAAAAAGCCTTACGTGTAACACATTTCCTGAGAGTTCTCCTCTTTAAGAAGCATCACTACTGTTTTAAAAGTATTTCTGTGGCTCAGTTGGCTAAGCGTCCAACTTCAGCTCAGGTCATGATCTCACAGCTCGTGAGTTCAAGCCCTGACAAGCCGTGAGTTCTATGCTGGTAGCTCAGAGCCTGGAGCTTGCTTCAGATTCTGTGTCTCCCTGTCTCTCTGTCCCTCCCCTACTCGTGCTCTCTCTCTCAAAAATAAATAAAATGTTAAAAAATATTTCTGCCATATTCCTAATGGGGACCTTGATTTCATGTATTAAAAAGAGCAACATGCAGACAAGGGAGGGATTTCAGGAAAAGCCATGAGTTGAGGCATGGCGCCCCGCATACCCTGAACTCTCTCTGTGACTCTGTCGGTGACTCTGCCTGGGGGCTCCCCTCTGCTATCTGGAAACAAAGGACACTGCTGCCAGTGTCTTTTCCCCACGACGGGAAAAAACATATGCTTTGAAGCCAGACTGAAAGAGGTTCAATTTCTAGTGCCACTTCTTTTTTTTTTTAGTTTCTTAAACACATTTTTTTTTTTTTTNTTTCCTTGTGTGAAAGAAAACCAACTAGAAAAAAAATTTTTTTTCCCATTTTGGGCAGCTCTATTGAGCTATAGTGTCATTGCACAGCAGGCTTTTACAGATAAAAAAGGAAGGTGTGGAGACACAAGAGTTCTCAAGAAGAGAGAGGCAAATTAGGGGAGAAAGGGGAAACATACCTAGCAAACCGGTAGTTATGATCTCTCTAAGAAAAGGGAAGACAGGGGTGCCTGAGTGGATCAGTCAGTTAAGCCGACTTCGGCTCAGGTCATGATTTCAGGTTTGTGGTTTTGAGCCCCGCATCAGACTCTGTGCTGAACGCTTGGTCAGAGCCTGGAGCCTGTTTCAGATTGTGTCTCTGTCTCTCTCTGCCCCTCCCCAGTTCATGCTCTGTCTCACTCTGTCTATCAAAAATAAATAAAAAGTGTAAAAAAAAATTAAAAAAGAAAAAAAGAAAAGGGAAGACAACATGTTGGAGTAGAATGTGGTCTGGACTAAGGGAGCAGACTCATGTGAGGTTCCAGCAAAGCTGCTGAAAGTCGACAGTAAATGTGCTCAGCAATTAAGGCAATCACATTAAATCTTCATACCAACTCTGAAGAGTATTATTATCTAAAGTTTTACTGGTTAAGAATTTGTAGCTCAAGGAATTGAAATGACTAGAATGTGGAATGTGATCCCTGGTCTTCTGATTCTAATAGATCCATTCATGTCCTGCTCTCCCCACCTTCTCCAGAGTCCCCTTTGTCAACAGCAAAGTGCTTATTGGCTGGATTAAAAGGCAGTCCGTGGCTGTGATGCCCAGAGTAAAGGATATGTCGCTTCTCCCTTCAGGAACAGTCTTGCGGCAACTTCACACATCCTGTAGCCATCTGACTTAATAAAATCCTCATAACATAGGTGCTCTCTCTCTCTCTCTCTTTGTGTATGTGCTGAATGTCACTGCTTCAAATTGGACCATAGGCTCCTTGAAGGCATGGACCAGTTTTGTTTTGCTCACTGCTTTATTCACAGTGCAGCACAGTACAATGCAAGAGTGTAGCAACATTTGTTCAATTTATTTTATTTTATCTTTTAAAGCTTATTTATTTATTTACTTTTTTTAAAATTAATTAATCAATTTATTTTGATAGAGTCGGAGACAGCTTGAATGGGGGAGGTACAGAGAGAGGGAAGGAAAGAGAGAGAGAGAGAGAGAGAAGGAGGGAGAGAGAGAGAGAGAGAGGGAGAGAGAGAGGGAGGGAGAGAGAGAGGGAGGGAGAGAGAGAGGGAGAGAGACAGGGAGAGAGACAGGGAGGGAGAGAGGGAGGGAGAGACAGAGAGAGAATCCTAAGCAGGCTCTGCACTGTCAGCACAGAGTTTGACATAGGGCTCAAACTCATAAACCATGAGACCATGACCTGAGCCAAAACCAGGAGTTGGATGCTTAAGAGCTACTCAGGCGCCCCTACATATATCCAAAGTTTCTACAAGAAGAGTGAATTTTTGTTTTTAACCGTATTTATTAAAGGGTGTAGTTCTATATTTAAAACACGAAACTGTCCTGTCTATTCTCCTTTCATATTAAATTCTGACTGGCTAAATATGTATTCTATACTATCTTCCTTGATCCATGTATCATTTAGATGATGGCCCACATTAGGTCAGAGATGAGGAAAAGTACAGCACAGGACATTTTATAAATGTTTAATGCTTGGCAAGATAGGTAAATACAGACACAGGACAATTATTAAAACAGAGACTCAGTACTGCAGAACAAACACTTTAGGGGAGTGGGCTGATACCCGTCCTGGAGAACTCTGTTCTCCCACGCAGCCTGCTAAGGGTCAAACCAGGTCTAGAATTGAAATAAGGGCTTGAGGGGAACCTCAGGAGTCAACTTTCCCAAGCCCCTAGAATAGTGATTCTGAAGCAGCTAAAGTTTTAGAATCACCAGGATGCTTCTGTAAAAATCTTTACAAAGATTCCTAGGTCCTACCCAAGATTCTTGCTTAGTAAATGTGAGATGGGGGTCCAGAAAGCTGCATTTAAGTAGGTTTCATGAGTGATTCCCCCATGAAATTGAGGTGGGGACCACACTTTGAAAAACACTGACTTTTACATATATTGCCTTATGTGAAATCTTAATTAAAAAGATTTTATACTGAGAGGGGCACCTGGGTGGTTCAGTCAGTTAAGCATCTTGACTTTGGCTCAGGTCATGATCTCATAGTTCATGGGCTCTGTGCTGACAGCTCAGAGCCTGGAGCCTGCTTTGGATTCCGTGTCTCCTCTCTTTGCCTGCCTCCACCCCCCCCCCTCCCCCGGACCCCGCTCAAGCTCTCTGTCTCAAAGATTAATACATGTTAAAAATAATACAAATATTTAAAAAAATTTTAAATTATATTGAGAAATACTAACAGAAATGTGTTTGTCAGTTTAAATGGCAAAAAACAGGCCACTTGAATACAAGAAAAACATAAGTTATGCATGTCTACTATTCGTGTGAGAGTCAAAAGACAAAAAGAAAAAGAAGAAACAAAATCTCTCTTGTAGTTATATTCTCAACCATCCAAATTTGAGACTCAATTTAAGTTTGTAAATAAGCAGAAAACAAAACCATTTTTTTGATCACACTGGGAATGTTTAAGAATTCTGGAGTATTTTGTCAAGATTCTACTTGATAGGTGGCAATGTGCACATCCTCATTTTAAAGAAAAGAAAACTAAAACCGAGAAGTCTGTTGAATTGCTGGGGGCAGGCCTCACAGCGATTTGGCAACGAATAGTGATTTGGCCTAGTCTTCGGCCTGTCAACCACATTAAGTTGCTACAGATCACGGAATCAAGGCGTACGGGCTCGGAAGGGTCCACGTGAGTTGGAAGTTTCAATGTACTGAACGTGACTGCTGGCTGGGCTAATGTCTTTGAACACTAATACCTGAATACACTGAATAAAATCCAAACCTTTCAAACTCTGGTGGGACTTTATTTAAAATCTGATGGCAGTATTATGGGGTGAGTACACACTTGTTGTTGGCACTAGGTTTTCAAGACAACAGAATTCCACTAATGTTTCAGCATATCTTATACTCAATTCCAATGACCCAAAAGGGAAACATCAACTGTACTCAGTTCTTAACTGAGTGATTACAAGAAAGAAACTTGAGTCCAAAAGTAATGTTGTAATAGATCACTATACTTGTTAAATTCAGATCTATATACTGCCACAGAACAACCCAAACCGATTTATATATTTATATAAATAAATTTAAAAAATATAAATACATTTATTTTTTTAGCACATTGTACTGTGCCTGGCACACACTCAGTACTCATCAAATACTTTTAGCTGAATGCATAAATGGAAGTTAGAGCATCTGGAGTACTATATGTACAAAGAAACAATATTTCTCCCATACTGGCATTATCAGAAGCCCTTATGAAATTACTTTGATTTGCTGCCTTTGGCAAAGGCAAAGAAGTATTTCAGAGGCTGATGGTCCTTTAGTATTTGGTCTTTCTTGTCAAAAAGATGCTTAAGTGCTGGTGGGACCATGTGTTAATATATGGAAGACAATGCCATGATCTTTAGAACAGGTGGAAATTGAACTTTAAAAGCTTGTTTCTCACATAGTAAAACTCCCTTTCCCAAACTTCTGCCAAGACCCAGTTCTATTTAAAAGATTTTTGTCTTCTCTATTTTAGCCTGTTGAGATGTAGAACACTGGTAAACGGTTCCCTCATCCGGCAGTTTTGGAAGGCAAACAGATTTATTACTTTTTGTCACGTACATGATAAAACAACTATCTAGACATAAGATTAGGGGCGGAGTTCAATGACTGACTTGTTTGCCTTCTTATTCCAACCCAATTAATTTAGACAGAGACCATTCCCTCATAAAAAAATGCACATAAAGAGGACACAAAAGAAATTCAAATGACCTATCTGAATCATCACCAATGCAGTAATTGTCATGTGAGAAATCATGAAAAATTATAATTGGAAAAGTTTCAACTATATGTGGATCTGCCAAGAAAGCAATTTTAAAATGCTATGAGTGAAAGTTTTTGTAAGCATTCCTTACAAGTTTTACTTCCGACAATTTCCATCCTTGTATTTATGGCAGGTGCAAACTGAAGACATTTTTTTTTTAAGTTTATTTATTTTGAGTGAGAGAGTGCACACATGAGCAAGGGAAGGGCAGAGAGAGAGGGAGAGAGAGAATCCCAAGCAGGCTCTGTATTGTCAGTGTGGAGCCCGACACGGGGCTCAAACTCATGAAAGGCAAGATCATGACCTAAGCTGAAGTCAACTGAGCCACTCAGGTGCTCCTGAAAACTAATTTTAAAATATTTAGGGAATACTGTAGGCAGCCCTCTTCAACAGAACTCTCTGTGATGAGGAAAATGTTCTGTATCTGAGCTGTCCCTCAATACAGTAGGTACTAGCCATATATGGCTACTCCACACTTGAAATGAGGCTGGTACATCTGAGGAACTGGATTTTAAATTTTATTTAATTTAAATGAGTTTAGGGGATCCCGGGTGGCTCAGCTGGTTAAGTGTCTGACTTCGGCTCAGATCATGATCTTGTAGTTTGTGGGTTTGAGCCCCGTGTTGGGTTCTGTGCTGACAGCTCAGAGCCTGGAGCCTGCTTTGGATTCTGTGTCTCCCTCTCCTTCTGTACCTCCCTCGCTCATGCTCTGTCTCTGTCTCTCAAAAATAAATAAAACTAAAAAAAAAATTTTTTAATTAATAAAGTTTAAAATTAAATTTAAATAGCCACATGATGCTAGCAGCTAGCACGCTAACCAGAGACACCACTGAGCCCATGTTTTAAACAACTGCTAACTCACAAATAAAACAATTTCTAATGTTAAAAATCTAAATATCAACTCTTAAGAGAATTGATATTTATTAAATGTTTTGTATATCTTTTGTTTTAGAACTTTCTATCAAAAAGAATACTTGTTTATTATTAATAATAAAGTTAGGTACACAAATATAGCAAAATATCTTCTTATGTGCTACATGGAGGTACATAATGGGTATTACATGAATATCTATATCTCCACCTTTTTTTTCCGAATTAAGCCACTGACCAGTTTTATCTTTCAGAAATGACTGGAACAACAGGTTTAAGAGATAAGAAGGCCTATTTTATAAAGAGATTATGGGGACATAAACCTACCATGACCATTTTCCTTTGTTCATACAGCTTCTGTAACTGGTAGGACTTTTCCTCTGCTTTGATGTAACCTTTTTTTACATCATCAACGGCCTGTCACCAAAACAAGGACAGGGAAGAAAGGAACATCAAAGTCATCATCAGGCACATTCTTGATAAAAGAGATACATATTCATTTCAGTATAACTCTTATCCGTTCAGACCATCATAATCATCACCAGTGAATTCTGCCACATGGATATATTTATTGGAATAAGTAGCATTTAAAGAATGCCCAGGATGTACTCAAGAACTGTTCTAGGTACATGAGGGATCTTGTTTCTCCTGTTAAAGAGATTTAAATTCCAGTTAACTTATATAGGTGAAAATATCAGAGAACACTGATATCAGAAAGCCAGCACATAACTGGAAAAGGTAACAATGAGGTAGCAAAGATGTATAATACAGATAGTAAGTTATACATGTAGTCAGAACAGCAGAGCTTTTTGCTAAGTGTAGTTATCAGGAAAGCCTATACTGGAATCCAAAGGTTAGGCGGACAGAACAAACTACAAACAGAAGTCAGGAAACAGGAATGCGTTTGAGCTTAAATGCACTCAGGAGACAGATCTGTCTGAGTTAAATACAGGGTATGTGTCAGGGGACAACAGCAGAGAGCGCCAGACGGGTAGGTTAACAGAGTATGAGGGACCCCAGAGAACAGGCACAGAGAATTTAAACTTAAGGACAGCACTAAGACTACTGGAGCTAAAATAAGCAATAAAAATGTGTGTCGTTCTCCAAAGAAAGACTGATTTGTGTATGAGTGCCAAATGAATCAAGCTAAGGAGAGAATGAAATGAGGAAGACAGACAATGTTATAGGGCTGTCAGCATAAAGTCACACATGATTGTAAACGAGAGTGGTAGCAACTGGAAGAGAGGAAGTGATAAATCTGAGACCACACATGGACAAAAATCCCCAACAGGACTTGACACAGGCATGAAGGTAGCTAGATATAAGATGCTGATCCTAACCTACTGCTGGCTCAGCTGTATGAAACGTGCATCCCCTTCCCAACTTCACTTGACCCCAAGAAAAGCTTTTCAGACCTAATAGAAAGGAAAACTCATTTTTGGAAGAAAAGAAAGGAAGACAACAAACAGAACCGTTTGTCCAGGGCATTCAGAATCTCTTCTCCGTGTTACTACAAGGACAGCTTTCACAGATACCAGGCAGGGACCCACTTAAACCTTTACCAGAAGTCTCTAAGGTAGAAATCAATCCCCAGAGCCTTTGAAGGGAAACTATTTTCATAACACAGGGAACTCAGGGTGCCTGCGGCTGAGTCAGTTGGGCATCTGATTCTTTTGGCTCAGGTTATGATCCTGGTGACTGTGGGATCAAGCCTCATGTCAGGCTCTGTGCTGAGCAGGGACTCTGCTTGGGACACTCTCTCTCAATCTCTCTCTCTCCCCTACTCCCACTCTCTCAATATAAAATAAAAATAAAAGTAAAGTAATACAGTGAGTTCAGACTAGTTCAACTTCTACCTCTGTCACCAAACAAAGCATGCTGGAGTATGGGTGTGGGTGCAGGTGCGGTACACAGTGGGAATGGGGGAAGGAATGGAGCTAGAGTCTCATCTCCTACACTAGGAAATTCAGAGATACTGCTTGATTAAAAAATCAAGTAGGAGCAATATAACCAAGTTATAATGGAGAAATGAAAGTAAATATAAAACAAAACAAACAACAACAAACAAAAGCTAAAGAAGGTGAAATGGCTGCTGAAGGAGGGGGTGATGAACATAAGCAGGGTAACTAGTATTTTTCACAATAACCTATGTAGATCTATTTAGTGCTTTAAACTTTATGTATGTATAATCTTGAAAAAAATTTTTTAACAAACCTGGTTACTTTAAAAAAGTTTTTTTTTAACGTTTATTTTTTGAGAGATAGAGGTAGTGTGAGTGGGGGCGGGGCAAAGAAAGGGGGTCACAGAATTTGAAGCAGGCTCCAGACTCTGAGCTGTCAACCCGATGGGTGGCTCGAACTCACGAACCTCAAGATCATGACCTGCGCTGAAGTCGATGCTTGACTGAGCCACCCAAGGGCCCCTTGATGAAAAAATTTTTTGAAAAGTATATAGCCATATGCTCATTTCCTGTTGTTTAGAAAAACAATAATAAATTTATTCTTAACTCCAGGACATCTTACTTCTTAAATTTATTTATCTTTTGTTAAATGGGATAGAATATTTTCTTTTCTTTACTTTTTTAAAGATTTTATTTTTTAAGTAATCTGTACACCCAACGCGGGGCTTGAACTCATGACACCAAGATCAAGAGTCACATACTCTATAAACTGAACCAGCCAGGTGCCCTGGGATAGAACATGTTAAAAATGTAACTTAACTGAGATCCAGGAGGCCAAGCAGCTTGTCCATGGATTCACACTGGATGGACAAATAACTCACTACATACAAGCATAAAAAGATATCAGGTCTTTCCAGGAAGATCAATTCACCTACCTGATGAAAAAAGTAGGTAACAGCAAGGTCATTATCATTTAAGAGGATTTCTTCTTCTGTCGTGAAAAGCCACTTTCGAATGGTCAGGCAGGTACCTGGCACAGCTGACGTGTAATTCTGGACGTACAGTTTATGAGGAAATTCATTGGGTGCCAGCTTACGTACTGAAGAGAAGACAGAAAAAAAGCTCTCAGATTAAAGATGTAGAAGGAGTCTCCCTAGCCCAAACCATGTAAGGCAGACTAAGCATGCCAGGCTCCCCTTAACCAGAACATCAGCTTTGATCTGTCAAGCAGCTCTGCTATGGGACCACGAAATAACCATTTCTCTACCCAAATCTACCCTTCTAACTGTGACTATGGCCAGTAGAGTCTTAAGCTGACTGAAATCTACCACCTGTATGACACACCCTTCAGTTAACGTGCAGACTGCAGACAGCGTCTATTCCAAAGTCAATTAAAATATCTCATCCCTTACCTGGTAAGTTACAGTGCTGTCTACCACACGTCTCTAAGGCAAGCCTCTCCTCTCACCCAGCTATGGTGCATCAGTCTCTCATGTGGGAATTCTCTTGTTTCTTAAGAGCCGAAAGGCTCTCCCCAATCCCACCCCAAATCTAAGACATTCATCAAAGTGAAAAATGTCTTCTGAGTAATGTTTCTTCCTCTTTCTAACAATGCACAAGCAGGATAAAACACTTTCACGTTTAATTTCTATACTGCTTTTCTTTGGAAAGGCTCAGAGTGTTTTCTTCTCTTGATGCTTAGTTGACTTTGTAACACTGCAAAAGACAGATTTAATATTTCCCATTTTATTTCTTGACTAAAGCTTAGAAAAAAAGGGTAAGATTAGAATCCAAGTGCCCTGGTTCCCTAGCAATCCTTTGTAACATCTGTATCTGCCCAGTTAGACCACAGGGAGTTGGGAATATGAAGAATAATAGAAAGATGGATGCAGGGGCGCCTGGGCGGCTCAGTCGGTTAAGTGTCCGACTTCGGCTCGGGTCATGAGCCGGTTTATGAGTTTGAGTCCTGCGTCGGGCTCTGTGCTGACAGCTTAGAGCCTAGAGCCTGCTTTGGATTCTGTATCTCCCTCTCTCTCTCTGCCCCTCCCCTGCTCAGGCTGTCTCTTTCTCTCTCTCAGAAATAAATAAAAACATTAAAAAAATTAAAAAATAAATAAAAATAAAAAGATGGCTGCTTCAGGGAGAATCAACCTTGTTTTATCTGGACCAGGGATGGCAAGGTCTGATCAATCAATATAATCTGTCGTTTCTGGCCTTAGCCCCATGTATATGTGACATAGAAAAGGCCCATAAACCATAGGAAATCTATGTCATTCACAGCAAGCACTCAGACTCCCTCGCTTCTGTGATCTCAATGCAACCAAGGTGACCACCATCGCTAGCTTTTATAAAATAACATATGAGAAACTTCCAGTCAGCCTGCAATACAATTTCCAAGAAAGAGAATATATATTTACATGGAAACTTAAATATATACGTTCATGCAAAGACTTTTAAGTAATGTATCTCTTTCTGACTCCTGAAAACAAAAAGCTATTCTTATCTACAAAAAGCATAAAGTACACCAAAATAAGTTGTGGCTAAATAGAACTTCCCTCTTTTTGGCTATTTCATTGGAATATATTAATTTTGAACCTCTGATTTAAAAGAACTTCGTGAAGTGCCTGTCTCCTTGCCAGGTAAAAGTAAGTCATTCTTACAAGAGAGGAAAAAGGACCATCAGTGATCAGATGCCCCTCTGACTTGGGCTTACTGGGGCTGCCTGGTCTGCTTGTAGGAGACAGTCCTAACGAGTGTGATCTCCTCTTGCTTTCAAGCTCGTCTTCTCTAAGCATATAGTTTCAGTCTGACAATATTACAATAAAATACTCACAAACGAAACTGAATATTAGCCAACTGGCACTTACCAAAGGAATGATTGATCACTTCAAATAAGGCAAAGTAATTCACTGTTGTACTGTCCATGCCAACCTTTGCTGCAATAGCCTATAGGGTAGACAGGATAGAATGGTTTCAGGGTAACTAAATCAGACAATGCTATGGGAAAAGATATGTGTGTGCATGTGCAGGGGGAGAAGGGGGAAGTTCTGCCATCTTGGTTTCAAATAACTACTCATGGTCTATACCTATTCTTTTTTGTATGTATGTGTACACACACTCATGCACACATATGTATGAAATAGGAGGGGGAAAATACCTGTATTTGACCCAAATAGCTCTGATCTCTAAATATGAGTTTCCCTGTCCAATTCAAGCTGATAATAATCTATCCTTAAATATCATCTTTCCTCTCTGAAATATGACTTCACTCCACAAAGGTCTTTTTTGCGGCATTTACAATGTGCTTCATAAGAACAGATCTTAAGAAGAAAATAAATTCTTAAACGTCCAGTCTCATACATTTAGCCTACGTATTTATTTATTTATTTACTTACTTACTTATTTTCATTTAGCTACATTTAATACAGGCTGTTAGCATGCAAAATCTTTATCTTTGGTTCTTGAGCTAAAAAGAATTTGTCAATTTTGTTCATGCTTCACAAACTGTTCTTACTTGTTTTTCAGATGATCCATGCCTCAGGCTGAGGATCTCATTTCCTAAGAATTACCATCATCAATATCCACATGAAAACACCAAAATGTCGTGACAAACAGAGACATATTAAACAAGTATTAGTCCTTCTCTCTAGAAGCTAACGTGACAAAAACAATGGAAAGGCTCCATGTACAAATAAATGAAAACTAAAATTACAAACAAACGACAACAAAACTCAAAAAACACAAAACAGTACCACAATTTCTTTTCAAGATCAACCCCAATATAAATAAGGTATTAACTGAACAAAATACAATTGTGGAATATTAGTGGCTCAGTAGACCAAGTATAATTATGCCATTCTTTCCAGATCTACTCCCATATCAAACCTAAGTTCATCTCTGATGAGATTACAAACGTTCTAAGTTACCATTCTTTACTGCACTGAACGGAAACTGAAATGCTCTTAAGGGTTGGAAAATGGTTCATAGCTACAAGTCTCAGTAAGAGGATGAGGAGAAAAGTGCCCCCACCCCCCATCAAAGGCCCTGTTAGAGAGAAAATGGCGACGGTGGGGAGGACGGTCAAAGAATACAAAACAAAAACATCAGCAACTTGATAAAATTAACATTTTCCTTGTAATCACTCCACCATTTTATAATTTTGAGAACTACTGTGAGTTCTGTACACACCCTTTGCCACGGTATGTGAGTACATGCGTAAATGGGGGGGGGCACATTTGTTTGCTACGAAGGAACAATAAACATTAATATCCAGAAACCTGTTAGTCTCCCTGAAAATCTTGATCACATCAGGATTAAAGTGAAAAAGGCCTAAAAGCAATGATTACGTCCAGCACCCAGATCATGATCTTTAAATGTAATTTCTCACTGAAAGAAACCAGGACTCCTTGAGGGAAGTGGCTGATTCTAGATCTAGGATAGAAAATATACAAAGAGGAGGCCAGAACCCCCTGTCGTACCAAAAAGCAAGGATGCTATCATAAGCAAAGGAGTTGCATCCGAAGAATATGGGGGCAGATATGAAGGCGCTTCCACTGGCCAAATATGGAAAAATCTAAGCATCAAAGATAATGCACACCATTGATTAGATCACACAGAATCTCTCAAACCCACATAATACTAAAAGAAAATAAAAATATCTCATTGGACATCATTGGAATCACCAACATCACACTCTAATGCCAGCATCACACTATGAAAACTGGCAATTAAAAATATTAAATATTTATCCTCCCATTCCTACAAACTGTGTTTTAGGATAACTACATACATAGCCTTAATTGGTAAGGAAAAGTTCCGTAAAGAAGAATTCTACCTAACAAATATGAGGAAACGACAGAAAGAGAAAATCAGCACTTTGTAACCTTAATGAAATCACTGGTCAAGGAAGCAATCGTCGGTGACACACTCCTCTGATTATAGATCAACAGGGAATTTTACAACAGAGAGCCCAGGTTATCACCGCCTAAACCCACTGCTTCATCTTAGTGTCACTAAAAATGGGATATAACCAGATAACCAGGTAATGTGTGCCTCTTGAAAGCAGCAGGAAGGATATATATCTTACCAATTATGAAGTATTCTTATAAAAAAAGCTGGAGCTGAACCTAACTGAGCTCTCTAGAGCAAACTGCCATTTACGTAGAATGTAAGGAGACGGACATATTAAATGACACAGATAAAAGAAATAAATTCAGAAAGTGGGACCTTGCACAACACAGACCCAATTTCTGCAACAAACCAGTAACATTGAAATAAAATGGTGGGGAAGGGAAGGGAGGTTGCTTTATATTAAAACAAACATAAAAACAGGGGTGCCTAGGCAGCTCAATCGGCTAAGTGTCTAACTTCAGCTCAGGTCATGTCCTCACGGTTTGTGGGTTTGAGCCCTGTGTCGGGCTCTGTGCTGACAGCTCAGAGCCTGGAGAGTACTTTCGATTCTGTGTCTCCCTTTCTCTCTGACCCTCCCCAGCTCGCACTCTGTGTGTGTCTGTCTCTCAAAAATAAACATTAAAAAAAAAAAAAGAATGCCCTTATTTTTTAGAAATTTATACTGAAATCTATACACCGCAATAAAACGGAATTTGCTTTAATATATTTAAACACGGGCAACTGGGTGGACCAGTCAGGTAAGTACCTGGCTCTTGATTTCAGCTCAGGTCATGATCTTGTGGGTTCATGGGGTTCAAATCTCACGTTGGGCTCTGTGCTAACAGTGCAGAACCTGCTTGGGATTCTCTCTCTACCCTTCTCTCTTTGCCCCTCCTGGACTTATGCATGCTTGCTCACTCTCTCTAAATAAATATTTTTAAGAAATAAAATATTTAAGGGGCACCTGGGGTGACTCAGTCGGTTAAGCATCCAACTTCAGTTCAGGTCATGATCTTGCAGTTTGTAAGTTTGAGCCCCGTGTCAGGGTCTGTGCTGACAGCTCAAAGCCTGGAGCCTGCTTCTGCTTCTGATTCTATGTCTCCCCACTCTCTGCCCCTCTGCTCACGCTATCTTTCTCCCTCTCTCTCAAAAAAAAAATAAATAAAATAAAATAAATAAATAAAATAAAAACAACAATGACATTTAAACACAGGAAAAGAAAAAAAGGCTATATATGTATAATTAAATATAAATGATGCATAAATGGAGGTCCACTGTGTTCTTCTGTTTATGTTAAAGTTTTCTACAATTAAAAGGAAGCAGGCCTGGGGCGTCTGAGTGGTTCAGTTAGCTAAGCAACTGACTCTTGACTTTGGCCCAGGTCATGACGATCTCACAGTTCATGAGCTTGAGCCCAGGGTCAGGCTCTGTGCTGAGAGTGCGGAGTCTGTTTGGGATTCTCTCTCTCCCTCTCTGTCTGCCCCTCCCCTGCTGGCACTATCTCTGAAAATAAATAAACAAATTAAAAAAAAAAAAAGAAAGAAAGAAAGAAAGAGGGCTAATTACAACCACTATGACTAGGATACATACTGTACTTCTCGTTCAAAGGAGGGCAAAGTACTTTCATGTTAATAATAACATCAACATTTAATGAATTTATTATGCGTCAGATAGTTCAAGCACTTTATACCTATTCACTCATTTCATCCATCTTCCTTAGATTCATACCATCCAGTGTTGAGTTTACTTGTTCAAGTTTAATTTACCTGATACACCTGGTCTGTAGTACTGTTCTTTTTAACCCTGACTGTAACTGTTGTTCCATCTGGTAATGCTACTCTCAGCTCGACGTCGGACACACCATTGTAGTTCTGGGGGAAAGACACACAGAGAGAATTTATAACTCAGCACATCCTCACTCTCCTTGTAACATGCTAACTAAGCAACAATCCAAACATGTGATGGAGAGTAAGTTCCAATGAAAAGGAGGAAAAGGACACCTTCAAATCAATATACTTTACAAGTCAGAAAGCTGACTTCAGGCTGCAGCAGAAGTTAACCTTTAAGATGAATGGGGAGGAAAGAAACATGTTAAAGTCAGTGTGTCCACATTCAAAACACAACACTCGGGGGAGGCAGTCGAGGTCAAACAGTGAGGACATTTTTGGCCTACTTCCAAACACCCAGAACTCACCAGTGATAAAAGAAAACTGGAAGCAGTAGTTTTGACAAAAATTCTCTGGGTTTAAATGGTAAGGCATGCTAGACTGGCTCAAGTAGTACCCTGAGTTCCTTCCTGAAGTCAGAAGCAATCATGACACTTTTGACAGGAAAAATGAATGAAACGCAGGGATCTGAGTTAATGTGACGCCTGATTTTCTTCTAAAGAGTAAACAGTTCTTATCCCTTAATTCAGAAGATCCTTCTTTCTTACTGCTTTTGATGATTAATACATTCCTCTACTTTGTAAGTTGGATTAGAGAGAAACTATTTAGGAGCAATCCATCTTCATTTATCATTTAAAAAATGGTCCTAACATCCTAAGCATTACTTCATTATAAGCCCTTGTCTGCAAGAAACTTGTAACCTAGCTGAGAAAATATGACATATACATATAAAATAATTAGTAGATAACACACTACTATAGCAGCATTAAATATTCATTATTCTATTCAATATTTATTAAGCACCTATAATATGCTTGACATTATGGTAAGGCACTGGGAATATAAAGATGACCAAGATTTAGCTCTTGTCTGGAGCTCTAATGTATAAATAGCATGGTGACCAGAGTTAACAATACTGCATTGTATACTTGAAATTTGCTAGGAGGGTGGATCTTAAGTGCTCTCACCACACACACACACACACACACACACACACACACACAGAAAGAAAATGGTAACTATGAGATAATGGATATGTTCATGAGCTTGACTGTTGTGATATTTCATAATGTATACATACATCAAAACATCAAGTCATACACCTCAAATATAGATGATTCTTATTTGTCAATTCTACCTCAATAAGGCTGGAAAAAAAAGACTTAGCTCTCACATACAGGTAGTTCACACTGTAGTGAACTAAAAATATAAAGTAATAATTTGATTACATGTACACAAAATAAGATAGTAATGAGGTGATGATTGGGTGGTCTGACTGCAAAAGTTCCTGAGCCAATGACTTGAGGGACGCCTGGGTGGCTCGGTCAGTTGAGTGTGCCATTTCAGCCTGGGTCATGATCTCATGGTTTATGAGTTCAAACCCCGCACCGGGCTCGCTGCTGTCAGTGCAGAGCTCACTTTGGATCCTCTGTCTCCTTCTCTTTCTCTGCCCCTCCCCCATTTGTGCATGTGCTCTCTCTCAAAAAAGAAAAAGAAAAAGAAAAAGAAAAAGAAAAAGAAAAAGAAAAAGAAAAAAAGAAAGAAAGAAAAAGAAAAAAACCAAGGACTTGAGTATCAGGGAAGGCTGTTCAAAGAGAGAAGGTGAACCTAGTACTAGGTCTTGAAAAATAAGCAGGATACATAAAAAAGGGAAGTTGAAAAAAACAGTCATTGGGGGAATTTATGGCAATTCAATCTATAATTGGTATCTTTATTTTCCTCCACAAGGACAGTAAACAGTCACTGTAGGGAGTATTTACCTACCTCATCTGATTCTGACAGGAATTCCTGCATGATGTCACTCTCACCAATGACACGTATTGAGCATACTGTAGGAAACAAAAATAGAATCTGGCGTGAGACCCCAAAATGGAGACTTCAAGTCAAGAATGTATCAAGGTTCGAGTATAAATCATGGGGCGCGGGCAATGCCGAGGCGGCGTGTCATTCATGACGCACAACACACTAAGGCACAACAAACAAACAGTCGTGTAAATATGAATTACAAGAGCGGAGCAACGGGGGTCAGAGACGCAGCTTGCTACAAATACTACACAGCCAAAGGAAGTCACAGAAAAAAAGTTCAGTAAATACAACTTTGCAGTCTCATGTGAACTGAGAACAAGCCAGGCAACAGAGCTAGGGTGAGGTCCATCAGGAACAAAGCAAACACAAAACTGAAATACAACAGGAAAAATGTATACTTGGCCTAGGAACCAGGCCAGTCAGAGAACCATACGCAGTTAAGCCCACTTTGGAAAAAATGGGTAAGTAATTAAGTATGAAGCTCAGCACATCTTCTTCCCTTGCTGACTTTAGCTTCAAAACAACCGGAAGGAAGGAAGGAAGGAAGGAAGGAAGGAAGGAAGGAAGGAAGGAAGGAAGGAAGGAAGGAAAGGAAAGGAAAGGAAAGGAAAGGAAAGGAAAGGAAAGGAAGGAAAGGAAGGAAGGAAGGAAAGGAAGGAAAGGAAGGAAAGGAAAGAAGGAGGGAGGGAAAGGAGGGAGGAAGGAAGGAAGGAGGGAGGGAGGGAGGGAGGGAGGGAAGGAAGGAGGGAAGGAAGGAAAGTAGCTAATTGTCTAAATCTAAGAAAGTTAATTTCCTGACACTCTCATGAGGATAGTAAGTTATACTGATGATTTCACTTCATTTTATTAAAAAAACTTATACCCTTTCTCATTTCCCAAGGGCTGTGTTTAGAGGCCATTCCATGTTAGAAAAAAGCTAAAAACAGATGAGGAAGTCTCACAACCTTCTACAGGGGAAACAGTTTTTCTTCAGGGATAAGGCTCTCTACTAAAATTTAAAAAATTCAACTAGGTCAATTAGTTCCTATACAAGGACACAATTAATAAATATCACATAAGGCCATTTTTCTATTAAATTAGTATTTTAAAGAAAAGCCTGTTGCACAGCTGGCAAATTACATAACTCTTTAATGTAGTGAAGCAAGGTCTCTTCTCTGAGCCTCAAAATGAACTATCTTATTCCAGAGATCTGGGTCATTTCTCTTTGCCTTTGCAGATAGCCAAACGTTTCAGCATCCACATCCATGGACTCCTGATGTAGTATTTGGAAGTTTTAATACTTCCATCTATAATGTGCTTAGATCAATGGGACCTTAGATATCTACAACTTGGCAAACCTACCCATGGATGCCGCGGATAAGAGGAAAAATGAGTTTTCAAATAGGATATGCCAGTGACCCAAGAATCATTTCAATAAAAATGTTTTAGATACTGCCCCCTTAGTGGCCAAATCAATTCGGCATGTGGATCCGTGTGTCTGTATGTGTTTGCTGGCAAATAACATAGCCCAGTAAAGGTCCCTAATGCATCAAAAACTATTTATGCATTTTTCTGTTTTTAAGTGCTCAGCAAGTCAATAAAATAGGCTATTAATCCTTGTATTGGACATTTCAGTCTTGGCTTCAAAGCTGAGATCATTCAACACCAGTGGTCAGAAACATGATTTACTTTCACTACTCAGTTTCAGGAAACGTAGCCGTGCAGTTTAAGAGCCGCAGCACATACCTAGACTCCATGTCTACTTAAGTTAGTGGCGCTTAATAGGCCGACTTACCTTTTTCTAGATATTCTTCCAACCCCCGACGTCGGGCATCTAACTGCTGTTCTGATAAAGAGAACGGCCACTTCCCTGGGAGTCGGGGAAATGTAAAGTTGGCAAACTCTCTCTTCAGGTTCTGGTGCAGGATAGCAAATTCCCGGTACCGCTTAGAGCACAGCTGTCTCCCTGCCATATAAACATTGTATACCTGGTGAGGGAAGAACAAGACAAAAAACAAAAACAAAAAGCCTACTTACTACCGATTAAATCACAAAATCATCTAAAGTCAAGCTCAGGCTGATACTGGTGAGGCACACTCTGCTACACATTGAACAGAGAATGTGTTCAAGGTCACTGCCAAGTAAGTCTCACTTTCAGTAATGCCAGAAATGATGTGGACCACAGAGTGCTACTCTTTTCAAGTGGCCCGTAATCTAATTTTTGCTCTTAAAATTACCTTCAACACACGGTTTTAAATGTCATGAAAGACAATTCAGCTTTTAAGGGTGGATTTTATTTTCAGAAAGTTAAAAGTTATTCAAAGCCACTGTGGTAAATCTACTGAATGAACAAGAAGCAAATCTGGAGAGAGGGATGTACAAAGCGAGGGTTGATTACAAAGCAGTGTGCCTGATATTTGTGTGTGGCCCAAACTTCCAAAGCAATGTCTAAAAATGGGGGCGCCTGGGTGGCTCAGTCGGTTAAGCGTCCGACTTCAGCTCAGGTCATGATCTCACGGCTTGTGGGTTTGAGCCCCGCGTCGGGCTCTGTGCTGACAGCCAGCTCAGAGCCTGGAGCCTGTTTCAGACTCTGTGTCTCCCTCTCTCTCTGACCCTCCCCTGCTCACGCTGTCTCTCTCTCTCTCTCTCTCAGAAATAAATAAAAAAAACATTAAAAAAAAAAAGGAATGTCTAAAAATGATGTGAGTAACAGCAGTATTTTGTCAGCAAAATGTTTCTGAGGCAAAAACCCCTTTCCTGAAGTCAGGTTATCTTTAGTTTTGCTCTTCCTTCCATCATCAAAACCATGTTAACAAAAAGTTGAATAAATGTGTTCTAAGGACCACCTTGTAATAACGAAGAGTTAATAATCCTCATGAAGAAATGGTTAGAGATTTTGGTTTACTGTTCATGGATACGTGCCAAGTTTCTAGAACAGGGACTGTAACATAGCAGTCAGTCAGTCAGTATCTGATGAAGAAATTAATGGGTATATGTGAAGTTTCTGAATGTGCACCCTCATCGAGTGATGAAATGTGTAATCCAAAAACATCTAAGAATCCAAGTTACCCTGTATTCTTGGAACAGATCAAATTAGGCAGAGATGGAAAAAAGGACCCTAAATCACACTTACTGGTTTTGCAAAAATCATTCTGAATTTTAAATATACACAAAACAGATCATCTACTCATGGAATCAAGAGTTAATCGCTGAGAATGTATGGGCCAAAGTATTCCCTTCAAGCTCAAAAAGAATCTTTACCATGCTTCTGTGATTTAGGAGGTATGAATTAAATGCAAAAATAAAATAATTTATTCATTCAAGACTCCTTTCCCAGAGCTCTCCAACTATGATTCCTCCCCCAATTAAAAGCAAAGCCTCTAATCACTATGAAATAGTCTCCAGGGGTGCATATTATCCTGATCAATGAGCTTTCTTCCTGTGATTATTACTCCAAGCTGTAACAGACTGTAATGAAGCACGTATATTACCAGAGTATTCCTGTCACTGTATGAGAAACATACAAAAATCACATTTTTCCATCTCAAAATAAACTATCCAAATTTCTCAATAATATGACCATTCCTTTGCTTAAAAGGCAAGCCCACAATACCATAGGTGATATATATCAGCCCGAGTTCCTGAGACAATGAAGAAAGGAAAGGAGGTAAAGCTAGCTAGTGACACTCTGGCTCAAAGACACGCCCCACGTCTTTTCCCAAGGAAGAGTAGAGGAGGTCTTTGATGCACACGAAGACTATGACTGCATTTCCTCAGAGCTGATCACTCAAGTGATCTCAAGTCCAGGAAAATATTTTCTAGGGTAGAAAGAACCCTATAGCTTGAGAAGCCTTTGTGATAGTTTCAACAAGAAACCTGAAAAGTTGATTCAACTTTCAGTTTCTTGGTAAAGTGAAAAGAGTAACATTAAATAGCCTCTCACCTATCTCCCCACCACTCTCTATTTAAATGTGGCATCAAAGGGAACAGAAATATAAATAGCATGCCTGACAGTTCTCTAATATTTTAATGCAAGTGGAAATGGCTTCCACAATAGCCAAAACCACTTTTAAATTATCTGCGCTTAGCAAATGAGAAACATACAAAAAGATCACAACAGGCCCACTTGAGTGGCTTAGTTGGTTAAGCCTCTAATGTGGGCTCAGGTCATGATCTCAGAGTTCGTGGGTTTGAGCCCCATGTCGGGCTCTGTGCTGACAGCTCAGACTCTGGAGCCTGCTTCAGATTCTGTGTCTCCCTCTCTCTGACCCTCTCCTCTCTCTGACCCTCCCCTGCCCCTGCTCTGTCTCTCTCAAAAATAAATAAACATTAAAAGAAAAGAGAGAAAGATCACAATAGAGACTGCTTTGTTCTTCACTGGTCCTTAATTAACCAAGATGTATTAGTATTCATATTTCCCTGGTTTGGGTACACTCATTTGCCAAAAAAATGACTACTTCACTAAGTGCATGCTGAGGTCTTCTGCCTAAAACTCATGAACATACATGGTCCATGAGAAACACCCACAGTCTCATTACAAATGAGAAAGTCCATCAAAAAATATATTCTCTGGAGGCACCTGGGTGGCTCAGTTGGTTAAGCATCTGACTTCAGCTCATGTCATGATTTCATGGTTTGGGAATTCGAGTCCAGCGTCAGGCTCTTTGCTGTCAGTGTGGGGCCTGCTTTGGATCCTGTCCCCTTCTCTCTGTGCCCCTTCCCTGGGCACGTGTCCTCTTTCTCTCTCTCAAAAATAAATTTTGAAAAATATATATATTCTCTGGACTTGAAGGAGAACATAATCAAATAGGAACTAAAGATATAAACAGGCAGGCAGTGCTTCTGGGATCTTTCCATTTTAATTTAAACCCTAAGACTGGTTGGCTCAGAAGTGAAATTAGATGAAATTAATCTAGCTTATGATAGTACACTGAATTTAATGATCACCGGTCACTTTCTTCTCCAACTCCCCACAGCCTACAAGACTTCAAGTTGGAATGTTCAGATCACAAAGCCAGTTGTCTGAGGAAACAATTTTTTTTTTGTTTCATACTAGTTTATTTAGGGATTCCATTTTCATTCCTCAATGGGCTCTATATATTTCTTATATGTTTCTTTACTCATTAATTCACCCAGTTCTAAAGAATTACTGTTATCTTGATCATCCAACCATCTTCATAACAAGATGTGTTGACAAGTCCTGGATTTTCTGCAAGAGCTTCATTAATTTCAGTTACTTCTCCTGATAGAGGAGACGAGAGTTCACTAGCAGCTTTCACACTTTCCAAAGCACCAAACTCATTCTGTTTATTCAATTTGGCCCCGACTTCAGGCAGACTACATGCAACATTTCCCAAAGCTTCCTGTGCAAAACTGCTGCCTCCCACTGTTCCAGTAGCGTTTTCTGCTGTTACCCATTCCTGTCTGTGACTTTATGCGCGGAGAGCAGAGCCCACCCTGAGCCTCCAGGGCCTGGGCAGGAGGGCGCTGCGGGCACAGGGTTGGCGCACAGGCAACAGGGCTCAGCCCGCAGGCTCCACACCGTCACAGCGCTGTTGAGGGTAGCAGGTTTCAGTCCTCTTGAGATATTCCTTGCTCAGTAAGAACCCAGCAGGGAAAAAGGCATGAATTCTAGGTGGGGAAAGTTTAAAACTTATTTGACCAGTGATTTTATTTTGTTTCTCTAGATTCTCTAAGTCAAAGTTTCAAAATTCAACTAAATATGTAAATGCTGAAAATCCATGCCATGCCATTTCTCTCTCGCCTCATGATGTATTTCTATGTAATGAATGCCAGAAGATGGTAACTGGTAAGTTTCTTCTTCCCTCCCTCCCTCCCTCCCTTCTTTCTTTTTTAAGTAGGCTCCATGCCCAATGTGGGGCTTGAACTCACGACCCTGAGATCAAGAGTCTTGTGCTGTACTGACTCAGCCAGCCAGGCACCCTGTCACTGATAAAGTCTTACAATGAGCACAAGCCACTGCAGGGAAAGCAATTCTGGTAACATCTGGGTATTCAATAGCAAAACTGAAATCCCAGATATCAGGGGTCTTCATTTTGTTGTTCCTTAACCCCCCCACCTATAGATTTCTTAAGGCTTTTAAATGATAACATCTCATCCTATGTAGGATCTGAATATTAACAAGTTCTCATTTTTTCAAACCTCTAGTAACCGACAGGAATTGTGCTTTTGAACAGACAGAAGAGAATCTCCTTACATAATGCAAAAAGCAATTAGAAAAAAAAAGATTAGATGACATTTTGGCCATGGCAATATCACTCAAGTTCAGCTTCTAAAAGTCAAGTAGACACCATCCTGGTTCCTGCTGTTGATCTGGATGAATCTTCAATATACATTATGACCAACAAATTGCTTCCAACACTGGCCTGCCATTTAATCTTATTTTCAGCTGAATATTCATCTTAGGGGCACCCGAGTGGCTCAGTTGGTTGAGCGTCCAACTTCGGCTCAGGTCATGATTTCATGGCTTATGGGTTTGAGCCCCGCATCAGGCTCTGTGCTGATGGCTCAGAACCCGGAGCCTGCTTCAGATTCTGTGTCTCCCTCTCTCTCTGCCTCTTCTGCACTCATACTCGGTCTCTCAAATTTGAATAAATATTAAAAATTAAAAAAAAAAAGAAGAAAACCACATTATTTGCCATTCACAAGCTGCTTATAAAAACAAAAGGAGATGGGGCGCCGGGGTGGCTCAGTCGGTTAAGTGTCCGACTTCGGCTTGGGTCATGATCTCACGGTTCGTGGGTTCGAGCCCCGCATCAGGCTCTGTGCTGAAGCGCTCAGAGCCTGAAGCCTGTTTCAGATTCTGTGTCTCCTTCTCTCTGACTCTCCCCTGCTCATGCTGTCTCTGTCTCTCTCAGAAATAAAACATTTAAAAAAATTTAAAAAACAAAAAACAAAAAAAACCCAAAAGGAGATATTAACACTCTTAGCTGATTTCTGGGTAAAATAGGTGAGATCTGTAACTAAG